TGTTTAAAGGTCTTATAGAATTCTGCTGTGAATCCATCTGGTCCTGGGCTTTTTTTTGTTGGAAGACTTTTGATAGCTTCCTGTATCTCATTATAGGATATTGGCTTATTTAATTGGTTAACTTCTTCTTTGCTCAGTTTGGGCAACTTGTATTTCTCTAAAAATGCATCCATTTTGAGCTGTGCTTTTTAAAAAATATTATATTTGGGATGGGAAGGCAGCTCAGTGGTAGTTTGCCTTGCATGCATGAGGCTCTGAGTTCGATTCCTCAGCACCACATAAGCAGAAAAAGCCAGAAGTCGCACTGTGGCCCAAATGGTAGAGCGCTAGCCTTGAGCTGAAGAACTCAGGAACAGCGCCCAGGTCGAGTTCAGGCCCACGACCAAAACAAAACAAAACAAAACAATAAAAATTGTATTTATGTTGTTTATTTTAGGGTATGAGGTTTGAACTCTGGTCCTTGAACTTACTAAGCAAGTGCGCTAACCATTGAGAAACACCTCCAGCCCCTCTTTCTGTAGGTTAGTTTTGAGATAGAGATGGCCTTGCTTCCTGTAGTGTGGGTGTAGTCGCCTGTATTAGGCTTCCCTGTGGTTAGGATAGCAGTGTGTGCACCATCAGGTTCATTTTCTGGTTAATTGGAGATTAGAGTCTCATTGACTTTCCTGCCTGGGCTGGCTTTGAACCGTGATTCTCAGGTCTCAGCCTCCTGAGTAGCTAGGATTACAGGCGTGAGCCACCAGTACCCGGCTTCTCTCAACCTTTTTCTGGCTTAGGCTGAACTTGAAGCACAATCATAACAACCTGTGTCCCCCAAATAACTAGGATGACAGGTACCCGGCTTATTTACTTATTTTTGCTACAGTCTCGCTTTGTGTCCTAGCTTGGCCTCAAATTCTCCATCTTCCTGTTTCAGCCTCCCACCTGCTGGGATTACGGGTGTGCATTACCATACCTGGGTCTACATAGGATCTTGTAAGCAGGGCCAAGGTGTGTGTGTGCGTGTGTGTGTGGGAGGTGACAGTATCTCCCATAGCTGAGGTATCATTTTTGGTTCTGAAGAAGCATGAGCAGCCTCAGCCACACAAAGACTGAGCCACAGTGCCGTCTGGTGGCCAAACCCCATAGGTAAGGAGAAATGATTAGAAGTTGAGACTTCGTTTCTGTTTGTCCCTAAGTCTGATCAGGTGAAGATTGGCTGAAGTGATGATTAGGGACTCAAGAACAGGGACCTTTCCTGGTGTCTTAGTAAGTCAGGGTGGAGGTAGATTCACCTATAGGTCAGATTTCCCCTCCTCCAAGGAGGCCTCAGGCTGGCTTCTTTGAGGAATTGGAAAGCCTCTGTACCTCCCCATCCTGTATCTGAGCTCTCTGGGTTGTCACTGGTCACCCCATTGGGCTGGGAGCATAAGGCAGATACTTGGTCATCTTCATCCCTGGATGGACCGCCAGCCTTGAAAGAAAAAGCCAAGTGAGAGTGAGAGGCTACCCGGTTATGTGCCAGTGGCTTCTGCCTGTAATCCTATCCATTCAGAAGACAGAGAGTTGAGAATAAAGGTTAGAAATCAGCCTGGGAAAAAGTCCATGAGACTCTTAACTGCAATTAAACACCAAAAAGCCAGAAGTGGAGCTGTGGCTCAAGTGATAGAGTCTTCAATGAAAAAGCTCAGAGACAGTGCCTAGGCCCTGAGTTCTAGCCTTACTCTTAAGTGTGCGTGTGCACGCGCACGCACACACACACACACGATAGGGTTTCAATATATTGTCCAGGCTGAATTTGAATTTTCAATATGCCAGCATAAGCCTTCTTAATGCTGAGATTACAGGAGTGTATCACCCCACCTGGCTTAGAATGTCAACTTTGTGACAGTGACAGTTTTATCTTGGTCATGTCTTATATACCTAGTCCCTAGGAGAGTGTGTGCCCCATACTAGGCACTCAATGAATGAACAAAGACTGATTAACCCCTGTGTTTTTAAAAGTCAGCTTACACTTTGGAGACACTCAGATACACAGGCACAGACCACACACGACAGACCCACATGGTCATCCACATGCCCTAGCGAGCCCTAGAAGCTGAGAACTACATTTTTTCCTCTGCCCGTGGTACCAGACAGGGTGGAGAGAACCCCAGCTGGGAATGGAGCATCCTGGGGGGTGGGGGGGAGGTACAGATAAGGAAAGATGCTCTAGGGAAGATTTAGCCCCGCCCCGTATCCCCAGCAACCAATGGGCGCGTGGTCCTTTCGCGCAACGCCCCCTGGGACTTGTAGTCTCGGGTAGGGACGCCCTCGGGCGCCGCCGTGCACCCTGAGACTCCACATCCCGAGGTGCGCCGGGAGGCGCGGGGATTGGCTGGGCCCCGCCCCCGGCCCGCCCCGCTCCGCTGGCGCCGCAGCCCCAAGAATGAATGAAATCGTAGCGCGCTGGGCGGCAGAG